ACTAAACTTCTCATTACTTAAACAAATTAAGTAACATAAATAATTCAACCAATTGCTTCAATAAAACCATAAACTGGTTTGCAAGCATCCAAATGAATTATAATGGCTGGCCTAAATACTCTTAGCCTTATGCTTACATTCGAATATATGATTCTCCCACTTAAGCATAAGCAGAATATACTGCATAGCCGATAAAGAAACCAGAGATATGAACCAATTGGTTCCCGATTCCTTACCTATTGCATAATCTCAGTTTAGTCATATACACCTAAACCATTATGCAAAACAGTCTATGTATCAAAAGATAGTCACAATCCATTTGGAATAACTTATCTCACATAAACCCAAAATTACCAGTTTCAACAATGATCAAAATCAGAATAGCAAGCACAATATTTTTGCATTCAATTTGATCTTAACTAGTTCAATATCCATCGAGCAAGATCAACCAAATTTTGATAATGTCTGGATATATATCACAACAATGTCTTGATTAAAACGAGATAATCAAGACCACTATTTCTTCTGGAAAACTCAAAATTCATCTTCCTCCCTATTTGTGATTTCAACCAAAGCATAATAGCGGAAGCATGCATCATATATGAAATCACAAATATATATATATATATATATATAAAAAATAAGCATGCATCTTAAACTCGATGATTTTCACAATACAATAAGCACATGCCCTCTTATGAATTCATAAATTTAAATCAATATGCATTCGGCAATGTCAATTTGTATTGTACAAGAATATAGACAATAGCTCACATAAGCAATTTGTTTATCATCCCTGTATATGGATGAGACAAGCTAATTCTCAAAATTTATAGCTTGACCTATATAATCATACCAGTAAATTTTTTAAGGTTAAGGTCAATGCCAAAACAACTAATTAAATTTTCAATGCCATGCATTTAAGTTCAAATGATGCCATTCATCTCCCGATCAGTTTTTAGGTCTTAAAACTACATATACAAAATACCTAATAAGAGTTGGCAACAGAACATTTCGCATTGAAGTCTCACGCAATGCCATTGCTTCTCAATGATCAGTTTCAAGTCTTCAAGCCACAAAATCTAATTTGGGTCAACTAATGAAAATAAGATCATTACAAAATAAAACCCAAATTACACTGTATACAGATCCGTCATATATGCACAATAACGATTCTACCCAAAACATATTTCACATATATGTTCATTCATCTGTTCATATATTTTCTTGTATGCATGCATCAATATGCAAAGAAACTTGTGCAAGTTCTATTTGATATAGATAAAACCGCATGCCCATAATTACAACATCTATGCACGAATTCTATCTCCATATGCATATAGATTTCATTCATATATGCTATTATATATAAATCACAAAGCAATTGGCATCCATTATATATATGCATTTGTATTTGTTTCTATATAATACATGCCGACTTGCATATGATATGCAGTCAAATCCATTCCAACCCAAACTTGATATAAATCAAACCAATTGAAAATCAGGAATTGACAATACGATGTGCAAGTGCTGCTCCCCGCAATTAAATACATCGTGATTACCGACATCTCACGTAAATCACAAGTTGGCATCTATAGGGATTTCGAGTGTAATCATGCCTTCACTATATATATATATATATATATAAACAAACAAGCATACTCGAAATAGCACAAAAGCCCTAATTCATTATGCTCCAACTCTTCGTACTATAATCACGCATATAGGAGAACAATTAATTATGCATGAAACAGTGAACTGAGTTACCTGAATGCATCATTGGACCCGTGTTCGTCAACCCAATTGCAATTCCTCGGTTCCAAATCAACGAAACAAATTATCCATCAATGCTCGAGACCCATCCATGCGGATTGCCATCACTCCCAATTCCGATGGACCTCGTACCATTGCAAATTATCGAAGTAAATCGCCATTGTTACAGACGCGCCGACCCAAAATCATCGTCAAAGTGACAGCCAGAATCCATCGACATAAATTCCCATAAAAAAAAAAGACAAACCATGAACATTAATATCTCCTAGACAAACAAAAACTTATTAATGTCATCAAACGAAGATTTCATCTTTCTTTTATGTTACTAATATTTGGTCTGTACAAGGCATATTTTATGCACATCTTTATTCATATAAAGGATTAAGAAACCACAATTACCTCAATTTTCAGACATCATAATGAACACAGCGGAAGCAATAATTCTCAAAATTAGAACTATGATGTTAGATAAATGTGTTTTGCTAAATCTCTTTATTGATCTCCAAAGAAGCAAGCAAGAATAAGTTCACCCTTTCCCAGATTGAAGAACACGAGTTTCTCCCCTATTGGATCGATAATGGTAAAAAAAAAAAAAAAAAATTTAAATAATAAATCCCTAGTTTTTCTTTTACGTTGTCAGGGTCAGAAATAAAAACAAAAGGGTATTACTAAAACGACGTCGTATTATCATCGTTCTATAAAACCAATAAACAAACTTATTCTTTAACTTAATTCGCAATTAGTTTTGCAGATTGAAGGACCAATGATTGAATTTAATTGAAAAATCCATTGGCTCTGATACCACATGTAAGAGCAACCATATAAGCTCTATAACAAACTAGCCAAGAACATAAGATTTAACTAACTAAATCACAATCATCACTCCAAATATTCTGTATATGCACATACTGAAGTAATATCTGCAACACATACCAGCAAAACTGTTTGCCGAAGTCTTTCCCGTGTGTTCTGTCATAATAGTCCTTCATAGTTTGTTATATGATCTCCCTATCCCACACATGGTGAAGATTGGATTTGTTTCTGTACCAACGCAAGGCTATCGTGTTTCCTCCCTCATCTGTCCTGAGCCCGACATGCATCGGCAGCAACACACATGTTCTTTACGGCATTGATCAAAGGAAAGAATAGTGCTAGACACCATATCATAACTATGTTCAACAAATTAGGATTAAGAGCCATTAGAGAAATCTACACACAACCTTCTCCTCTCTGCAAAACTCAATGTTCTCCAAGTTATAGGTAATTGGAACAATAAGAGCGTATATTTGTGAGAGCAGGGCTTGTGGTTTTTATACTACAAAATCTGGATTACCCTATAATAATCCTACAAGGAATACAAGACCAAATCCTTGTACAAGTATGAGTTCTATTCTCAAGCCAACAGTAGAGTTTCAATCCAAACCAAAGTTGAATTAACTCTTATAAACACATTAAGACCTCTTTATACCAATATGAAATAACAATGATTATTACTAAACTATGAGAATCACACTCATACTCTAACAATACAAACTTAAGAACTGCAGGTTTTGTATATTCGACAAGATGGTTGTTTCACATCAACTTTGCATACACAGAAAGACTTGGGTTGCGTATATTTATAGCCAATATACAGATTACATTCAGGGTTTGAGAACCCAATTTACATGGGAGGTTTGAAATTCAAATATACAAACATAAATCTTAAAGACGTTGACAAAGTCCTAAGCCTATCCAACTCCGAAGAGATAAGTCTTCGAAGCCAAATACAACACTTCAAACAGACTAACGACTCGGTCTAACAATAGGCTGTTGAGCAGTGCCAAGATCAATGTGACTCCTGGCTCAGCCTGCCACTACGTAGAACCAGGATGGTTCAGATGTTGTTTTACTACTTTGACTTCAGAGGATGTTGCTTTAGTTATATGGACCGGATCCGGAAAGTTGCTGAAAACAATTAAGACTTCTAGTTAGTTGATGTTTTTAAAAAAAAAATTTGCTATAAACCTCTTTGGGTGCCTTTGGCATTGCCCGTTTAGTCGAAGCTGATATAACTCTAGAAGAGGGCTATGTTGTGGATAATCACAGATTCGATATTGAAGCTAAACACACATTCAAGCGTTGCTCGCTTTGGTACATATTGGACGTCTATATACTCAAGCCCAAAGTGAAAACTAAAATCATCCGGAGGACAGACTACATGGAGAGGACTGACTGCATGTTGCGTGGCTCGCTTAAACTTTAAGCTAGTGATTTTTTTTTTCACATCAGTTTAAGTGCAGGCAAGTTCTTCCTCTTGCTGTACAGCCCTTCTATCACCTTGATTCCAGTTCCGAAGATACCGCATCCAAAAGCTCTATTCTTCATGAGTTTCTGTCATTGATGCATTGAGGAAAGAGTAACAGTTCATGAAATCTTGGCGCTGTCAAAAGGAAGGACCTTCAGTTGATATATATAATTCTCTTTTCTGTTTTAAATTGATATGAAATAATATTTGGTACAGCCGTAGATGCGCCGGAGTAGCTTGGGAACCAAATAAATTTTAGAAAACGACGACAGTGAACGTAAGAGTAAGAATGGAAATTTACCATTGAGTGATTGTGTTAATTTTCTCATTTGAATCAATCAGAGCTTATTTGTAATTGATGGATTCGTTCATTTGATTTCTTTTTAGTTATTTTTGGTTTTTCGATCTATAAATTTGACTTGAAAAGACTCTTACGCATGAAAATAATTCACATATTGGTCATATCTATATATATCTCTGTGTGTGTGTCTGTGCGTCTGTTGTGTGGATTCCGAACCCACTGACTTGAGTGCATTTTTGCCCATCCCCTAAAGTGAAGGTGATGCTCACCCCCTTAATTGTCGTTAGATTAGGTTAAGTTTTAAAATTCGTGTCTTAAATTAATTAAACCAAAACTAACGGCAATTTAGGGAGGTCAGCACCACCACACTAGGGAATGAGCAAGGTTGCACTCCACCGACTTAAAGTTTCTACCAGAAAAAGAAGGAAACAAAAAACATTTAGAAATCTGTACAGAGTAGGTTAATTAGAAACCAATCCTAATAGGAAAAGGAAATTCATACCGCTCCTAATCCTACATCACTAGGCGCGAGCACCCCTTCGCACTATAAAACTACTCACATACTCGCCAAACCTCATAACTAATAATTGAGAGCATTCACTTTTCTAGATTCCAAGTCTCAAGTTCTATTTTCCACCTCCCTTGTATCACTTAACTCCGCGATTACGAAAGTAACAAAAAGAGATTCAAGAAACCAAATATGGACTCACCAAACGACACCAACATGGAGCCTCCACGCTGTGCAAAAGGCTGCGGCTTCTTTGGCTCTGTGACGAATATGAACATGTGCTCAAAGTGCTACAGACAGTACCTGAAAGAAGAGCAGTTTGCTAAGCCTGCAGCCATGGTAGGGTTAGCTTCAGTGGACAACACACTCAGTGACTCAAGCTCCGCTACCGCAGCCGTTATTTCTTCTTTGCCTCCACAATCTTCACAAGGTTCATCAGATTTATCGCAGAAAAAGAGGTGCTTGAGCTGCAAGAAAAGGGTCGGCCCGACAGGGTTCGAGTGCCGCTGCGGCGGTGTGTTTTGTGGGAAGCATAGGTACCCTGAAGAACACTCATGCTGTGTGGATTACAAGAAGACTGGGCAATATCTTTTGACCAAGCAAAACCCTCTTTGCAAGGGTGATAAGCTGCAGTGGAGGGTTTAGAGTTCTAGGTGAACAACTTAATTATCATAATGTTTAGTTGGCATAGATATAACATTGTCTTTGTTAGTTTAATTGCTCAATTTCGAGTTTGTAATTCTTTTCCTTTTGATTTTATGTCATTGATTATATATTGAGACACAATATAATTATTTTAGTTAATTGAATTACAATTAAAGTCGAGATTTAATTATTAGAAAATTTTTATGCATGATGTAATATTTTTATAAAAAAAAAAAAAAAAGAAAAAAAATAGAAGACATATCATCGGTACAATATTGATATTATCCATGATGTATCAATACGTACACACGAATAGTATCGATGGCAAACAATCGGTCCCGTAGCCGGTAAAAGGACATACTCGTACTCTCCAAATACCAAGAACATCAATCACACTTTTTTTTTTTCGTTCAACATAATGGGCCTAGGATTAGTGGGCTTTTCTTCAACATATGGAACCTAAGGTTAATGGGCTTAAGATAACTGGGTAGCCTATAAAAAATTTGCCACATAAATACCAAAAAATTTTATGTGGACTCCTTTAACAAAAAGAAAGGTGATTTTATGGTTTCAAAGGAAATGTCAAAATCCTACATGGATTGACATTCTTCACTCCAAATTTGAAAGTAACGCCAATTTTTCTTTTGGACACATATTTCTTTAATTTCTTCACTTATTGATTATTTTACTAACCCCAATGAAGGGGAAACTTGATATAAGTCCAATTTTTTGAGCCAATAGTAAGAAGAGTCTAGTTTATTAAAATAAGTCCAATTTGTTATGTTTAATTTTTTAATTATCAATAGTTATCTGTTCAATGACAAGATTTATTAAAAAAAAAATCAAATTTCTTCCCAATTATTTCTTTGCTTATTTCTTTTTATTTTTGTTTTTGTTATTTCTCGTTTTTCCTTCTGCTTTAAACCTTATTTATAGATTTTATTTTTAATTTTTATAATCAACCTATATCATAGGTTAATTATATTTATCTACCTAAATGATAGATTATATATATATATATATATATATATTATAATCAACATATCACAGATTAATGTGTCTTACTTGTAGGTATGTTATGTTTTTTCTACCTTTTAATTAGGTTTCATATCTCACTTATGGGTATAATATACATTCATATATTTGTTACTTGAGTTAGGGTAGAATGTTTTGCAAATAAATTTATGTTAGTATATTAGTTTTTTTGTTATAAGATATTAATTATATTTTTTGGAGTTGGAAAATACATAATATTAGAAGATTTTAATTGATTTTTAATATTTGTAGAAAATATAAAATGAGTATAAAAGAAATAAAAACATATAATTAGATAATTAGACTCACTCCTAAAAACATTCTATGTTTTTGGACCTGGATCTAAAAACCCCAATAAGTGAAATTTGACATTTTAATTTGACATCTTTATTGGAGATGTTTTAACAGTCACTTAAAGTTGTGTGTTAGATTTGCCCCTCCTACAACATGATTCGTATCAATACAAAGGAAAAAGATCTCAAGATTCGATTTTTCAATTCAAACTAAAACACATTCACTTAATGCCCTATAAATTGTCTTTCAATGCCAGATGGTTCAATTTGGAGTGCTTTTTAACACATATCAAATACAATGATCATATGAATGTCAACCAAGAATCTTTTACAAATATATATTATAAGTGGGGCAATGCATCTTTGCAATTATATGAATTTCACTAAGCAAGATGCCATTAGCTGGAGGATCAAACACTTTTTTATTCCTATTTCTTTGAATTTGTGTGTTTGGATTTTAGTCCACTAGTGTTTGGGTCTGGCCGAAAGGTAGAGATTCAGACTCACATGCTCACATGAAGTCCCTTCTGGATTTACATGATTTACTTGCATGAATTCAATTTTTTATATCGTCTTGCGCTTGCGAATGTAGGTTAGGCTAATTAAATTCGGCAGTCTCGTAAGTTATATATATATATATATATATATATATATATATATTTTTTTTTTTCACGGGTAGATTAGTTTTTGTATTCAATCAATATTGGAGAAGAGAAATTCAAACTCAGAAATTTCAAATGTTATTGGTGTAGAACAAATGGTAGATTGGATCGAAGAGGAAATGGACCGCCGAAAGACAAAAGAATGTAGTAAGAATTTGCAAATTTGACGTCCGAGCTTTGATTTGGGCCCATGGTACATTTTTGGAAAGGAACTACGCCACGAGTCCAACTCATGGATTTCTCGTGATGTACGATGGATTTTAGCCATCTGAGGTCATTTCAGCTTCCAAAATAGTGTTTAAAGTTTTGTAATAAAATCAGACCCTTCTTTTCTCGTCGATTAATGTTTAATTAATGTTGTTTAAATTTCTAGAAGTCCTTTGAGTTGTTCCAAACCTTTGTAATCATTATTTAAGTCATCTAGATGTAACCATTCGATCACTCAATTCTCAATTAAACAACAACCTTTCGGAGTTTCTCTCAAATTTTTGGTGAATTCTAGACTTATTCTTCAAAGGATTACGTTGGTAATTCTTTTGATTACTTCATGCTGCGTCAGCTACAAAGAATACTCTTAATTAAGCTACACATTCCTTACCATAAAAAGTACTTTTGATGAGCATAAAATGTGCTTGAATAGTGAGAAATCATATATTCGAAGTTGACATAATTTTTACTTATATATACTTTTTCTAATAAAATAGTGAGGAAAATAAAAGAAAGTGGTCACAATAAAAAGGCTAGATTACACTGTAACCGAAAATTAAAAGGCTATATTATTTAGGAGTTTAAGTGGGAGTCCTTTATAAAATAAATAAAGCATACGGTATCAAGTATTCCCGTTGGAATAAACTGAATTTGAAAGTTTTGGCAGTGGCGAAGTCAAGATTACCAAATAATGGAATCATGATTTTGACGGATTTTTTATTTTTTATTATTGGATCATTTCGATGAGCACCTAGTAGGAACATGTCAATTCTTGTCAACATATGTTGAAGGAATATGCTAACATATGTCAACAACTATCATGATATGTGGAGGCTTGTTAAGGGTGGCTAGAGTAATGTAGAAGGCTGCCAAGAGAGCGCACAATAGAGTTACACTCAAAAAGAGATAAACGGAAGATAGGGATGATAAAGAAAAAATAGAAGAAAAAGTAAAGGAAGTTGTGTATTTAGTTTGCCTAGCTGTTTATAGGATCTAATACAATACATATACAAATATACATAAGATTTTTGAAGTTGTTGGGGTCATGAATAAATAATGACCTCATACTAGCTCCGCCAATGAGTCTTGACCAATGATGGACTCGTAGCTAAAAATGTTAAGAGCGTTTACAATTATACTCAAAATTTTGTTGTTGAATTTTCATTCCTAATATCGTCTGCTTAAATAGAATCTGTACTGTAGCCGAATTTAATTATTGGGTAAAGTACAAACAACTACCTCAACTATAGGTCGAACGATACTTTCATACCTCATCTTTTAAAATTGACAATGTCATACCTCATCTTACGAATTTATGACAATGTCATACCTTCTGTCAGTTTGTCTGTCATCTATTCTGTTAAGTAATGACGTGATTTAAAAAAATTAATTAAATATTAAAAACTAAAATTATAAAATCATTTAACAATTTTTTTTTACATGGGGACCCACACCTTATCCCCCTCACCTTTCTTCCTTCCTCGCATCTTCCCCCACCCAAAACCCAGATCCCACCCGCTCCCGTCTTCCCCTAACCCACCCCCTAAACTCATCACCCTCAACCATCTTCCCCACCTGTCTCCCCCGAACTCATCGCCTTCACCCTTTTTCCCTATTTCAGTCTCCAATTTTTAATTTACCTAAACAAATCAAATCCCAATTGGAATTTCGCAAATTGGGTGTGCTCTGTTGCTACCCCTTTGACACCTCTGCCTCGTGCATCCATCATTTTCTTTCTCCCCTGTTCGAATCCCAATTGGAATTTCACAAACTGGGTGTGCGCCGTGACGGCGTGCTCATGCGTCCATGGATTGCTACATCGTAGTAGAGGAATTAGAGCGGGAAAGGCGCTGGACTCACAGATCAAGGCACGATTATCAACCCGATTCTTCGCTAAAAGCCTGAGCTTGGCCGTTGCAGATTGCTTCACGACAAGTGACAGCGATTGGAGGTCGTCGATGCAGATCTTGATCGTCGGCTGAAGATCCTTCGGCGAAATGCTCTCGATGATCTCGGTTGAGAAGTTCTCCCTCTGCAAAAACCCCTGACATGGTTCCAGTTCTGGCGCAGCCTCAGATAATTCAGAGGTCAGCGCGTTTTCAGGCGACGGCAAGCTTACGAGTCGTTTTAATTTTCCCGATATGTCGTTGTTGCAGGCGGAGAAATCACTGAAGGCTTGGGATAGCTAGAGGTACTCCTTGTCAGAAGACGCAGACTTACTAGCGAAGCTGTAGGTGCGGAGGGCAAGCTCGCCGAGGCGCATGTCAACGACCGAATCGGTTAGGTTCTCGGAGACGAAAAGCTATCGGCGTGGGTGCAGAGGATGAGGTTTGTGAAGTTTAGGGCTTGGAGCTTGTGGACAATGGTAGAGCCGACGAGGCTGCTGTTGCAACATGAAAGGGAGAAAGGTAGAGAGAATACGGGAGGAAATGGGAGAGAGAGAGAGGAGGGATGGTGGTTCTAGGCACGGCGAGGGAGAGCGAAGTGGGGATGGGATCTGGGTTTGGGGTGAGGGAAAACGGGAGGAGGGAAGAAAGGTGAAGGGGATAAGGGGTGGGTCTCCATGTGAAAAAAAATTGTTAAATGATTTTATAATTTTAGTTTTTAATATTTAATTAATTTTTTTAAGCCACGTCAGTACTTAACGGAATAGATGACAGACAAACTGACGGAAGGTATGATATTGTCACAAATTCGTAAAATGAGATATGACATTGTCAATTTTAAAAGATGAGGTATAAAGTGTCATTCGACCCATAGTTGAGGTAATTTTTTGTACTTTACCCTTTATTATTTAATGAATTGTTCATAACCAAACACATGTATTACAAGTTCACAAGAAAATATTCACCTTATTTTAAAATTTTATTTTGTGATCTTTTATTGGTACAGAGTATCAACAAATATTTTTCACATGATCATGCATGAACTATAATCTCAAAATTCATAATCCCCTACTTTTGATTTCGGAAAATATCTCAAGAAACAAATCATTTACATTTTATATCTATTTATTTCATCATATACAAACGAGAATTCGATACAAAAACGAACCCTGAAGATCTTATCAACGCAGCTCAATTCAAAACACGATGGTAAAATTTCAGAAATCAAAATTGAAATCCAAAATACGAACTAAAATAACCCCAAAAAAAAGAAAAAGAAAACGGTTTGATTCTTTTTCCTTCACTAGCTAGCTAGAACTCTGCAAATTGAGCAACCCATTAATGGAGTTATTGCATTCAAACAAGGCCTTAGCCGTCATCTCCCTCTCAAACCTGCAAATATAATTCAACCCCACAAGCAGCTCAGTTATGGCAGCCTCCGTCTTGTCCTTGTTTGCAAAAAACAAAGTTTGCAAAAGCATAACATTTGTTTTTGGCACAATGTTTTGTTGCTCAAAGCTCCTCTCACTTTGCCATTTCATCATATTGTGCGCCAACGGCGCCAACCACTCTAGGATCTTCCCCAACGCTTCCCTCCACTCGCCGGCTAGTACCGGATCGCTGGCGGAAAACCCTACCCCTCTCAACCGGGCGCGTAGCAAAGACCTTACGCTGCTCGGCAACATCGAGTAGAGATCGTCCCTCGCGTCGACGCCAACCATTTGTGGGAATTTTATCATCTTCTCCATCACTATGATCAAGTTAGCGTAATGAAGCGACAAGGCCGCCGCGCCTAATGTGCTCGCAGGTGGCTTGAGGAGCTTCGAGTTGGACTCAAAAAACCCAATATCCTCCGAACTGTCTTTCATATCAGCGAACGTTCTGGACAGAGATTTTTTTTTATCTTGATGGTCAATCTTTGTGATACTTGTAAGGTACGACTTGCACACAGAATTTTTGTTATCTTGCTGATCAAGCTTCGGGGATCTCAAGGGCCCTGATACGAAATGACATGTCGATTGGTTGGACGGATGGACAGTAGCTGAGGCCGAGAGGCTCCGAGGCAAAGACAACGGAGGGCATTGTCCGATACCAAAAACGAGCTTTGTCCTCGCAAGAACAGTGAAAATCGACCTCGCTATAACCCAAGTGACCGTGTCGAAGCTTCGGCTCCACAACGATCTGCCCTTCAAATACTTCACCTCATTTCTCTGCCACACGATCTTCTGCTGAAGATCGACAATTTTTTGCTCTTTAGTACTACTTGTCATCGGCGCGGAATGATTATTAATCTCGTACTCGTTGCACTTCCAGGCTTTTCCCAACGCGCTCTCGAGCGCACCAAGCTCGTCCATCTCTCTGTGGAGGGTGGACGTGATCGTGACATACCTCTCCAACTTCTTGACAGTGTTAGCATCCATTTCTTTAAATCCGAGCACCCAATTGTACGGATCGCGGCCGGAGTTGGCGAACTCGAGGAAGACGCGGTCGAAGGAGCGGAGGTGGGAGTCCTCGCATTTGGTGCTGAGTCGGGAGATTGAGTTGGCGAGAAGGCGGAGATTCTCAACGAGCTCGGCGCAGGCGAGGGCAAGGAGGAAATCGTCATCGTTTGAGACTATTTTTCGGACGCCATCGAGGGAGATGGACTCGTTGTGGAGGCGGATCATGTTCTTGTCGGACAGGGCCTGCCAAAGGTGGATGAGCTTCGACATGAGGCCGGCAATCTCGAAGGCCAAGACGCCGACGTTTGATTTTCTTACCGGTTTGAGTGGGTGGTGCGGGTGGTGGGTGAAGGTTCGCACGGCGTCGAAGCGGTGGGAGATTGCTGTCTTCACCTTGAGAAGCAGAGTCTCAAGTGCCATGAATAAATATTTTATGATAAATTAACAAAAATGTTTAAATTTGAGAAGAAGACGAAGAAGATGATGTATGAGTAGAACCAGTGAGTGAGAGAAAGAGAGAGATAATTGAAGTGTGGGAATTGGGGAGAGAGAGAGAGAGAGAGAACAGAGGAAGCTAATGGAAATAATGGAGGGAGGTGGTGGAAGAAGAAAAGCTTTGGCTAAGCTTTGTAAATGTAAATTAAGCTCGTGAGGTGCTGTGGGCGTTACATATAAAGTCTAATAAATAAATATTAAAATATTAAATAAAATGAAAAGAGGGAGAGGAGGAATTTTCGGTCATTGCCACTTGATATTACTTGTCAGTCTCTATTATAATACGTGTATAATTAAGAATTTTTTTTTCAAATACGACGGTCGCACGACCCCACCTGTTACTAATTGATCGTGCTAGGTTTTATAACATGGATAAATGACATGGTGTATACAGTGATATTACCACGCAAGGTCGCAAAACTTTTTACTGCTTTTGCTTTTCAAGATGGTTTATGTCGGCTTGGTACTTTTATCTATGAATAAGTTATCGGCGTTTTATTCCTATAACACACTATTTTGCTTTAGAAGTGTGAATTTGACAACTGTGGCATGTTGTTATATAGGATTCAAGACCCATCAGATACATGTATGACACTCAACAACTACACTCACTCTTTAAGACACATTTTTTTCTGATTTTGTGTGAGTTCGATTTCAGTTTATAAAAACTTAAAAATTTCTATATTAATTATGTAAAACAATACGAAGAGGTAACTATGTTGTCCATACATATTATAACATTTAAATAAATATGTGACAGAATATATGTCGCTAAAAGGTTTCTCAAGGAGTGAATTTGGGTAAAAATGTCAGGCTGGCCTACACAAGACATGTTTTTGTATTTTTTTTTTTTGGTCGAGGGCAATATTCATTGAACAATATAATGTACATTTGGATAAAGCCAATCAGCCCAACAAACAGATAAGCAAAAAACTCACAACAGATTGAGAAAGCAAGACAAGACCAATCGGTTGAAAAATATATTTTAAAGCATAATCCTAATGCATATCTTGAAATGACGGAACGTTGCCGCCGCTGTCACGACCACCTACACAAGGCGTGGTTAGTTTTGTAGTTAAAGCATTGGTTTGTCTTTTCCGGTTAATTTTGTAGTTAAAACATTAGTCGGTAAAGAGGAACTGTTAGGGGCTATTTGGATGCTGAAAACGTTTTTTTTAGATGCTGTGTGTTCTACAAAAGTGGAGTGGGAGGGCCATACCATTTTTGGTTTTTCCTTTTGATTGTTGTGAAGAAATAAACGACTTTTCTCATCGATTGATTTATTTGTCGTGTATTATTTATTATTTATTCAATCCAACAACTTTAACTTGAGAAGGAAAGATGCAAGCTCTAATCTATGAAGAAAAGTAGTGACCTCACAAACTAAATTTTGTTATGATTAGTAATTAGCTTAATTTGGGAAGAGAATATTACCAAATAAGATCTATTTAATTTCCTTCTTACGCTTGAGGAAGTTAAACCCTAACATATTTCGTAACCTATACACTATAGGAAAATGAATTATTAGGGACGATTTTTCTTTGTCATTTGGGTTAACCCGAAGGACTTATTAGGTACTATAAGCTCTATGAAACAAGAAAGTTTATTTAGTATATACTGCTTAATAATTCTCATTTGATCATGGATCTATATATTTTAAATTTCTCCAGGAATATTATATTGTATTCTATGTAAAAATGATAAAGATAAAAAAAGAAAGGTAATGATTGATTCAATTTGCACTAAGTGCAAGTTGATATGTTAACTTAAAGGAATAACGTTAGAGAGATCATATAGGTATATTACATTGGTGTAATATCACATGTGGCAAGTGATTCATACAATTAATATTCAATGAGATAAATTCATTAATTAACGTGACATGTACGCATCACTTAACACATCAGATAATACACTAATGTGGTACAAAAAATGTAATATCCCTTACATTTCCTTAGCTTAAAGTAGGATTTTGACCCATGAGTTGGCCACAAACCACATTTTTTTTAGGTGCCATTAGATGTGGTAGTAATATTCCTATAGTGCAAATACCAACCTCAAGTATATATGTTGTTTGACATTGAATTCATCGAAGGGTAGCGGCTGTGCGGGGCCTTAGGTTAACTTGGAAGAGTCACTTGATGGAGAGATGCTTCACCATGCATCTTAGCTAGCTAGCTAGCTAACATAATGATGATACACCAAGTTTGAATATACAAACTGATTAAGTTGTTAACATATACTTTAATACATATAATCTCACAAATGATAGTAGACTTGTCTCAATAAAATATTGTGTTATCAATGTAATTGATAAAGTGTGTTTGATGACGAAGTTAGAATTTTTTTGCGATCAAGATATAATTAAAGAAGCTCCCAACCTCACAATGTTGAGAAATGTTTCAGTACCATTCCTCACAATATTCAATCTCCTTTCCTTTACCCTCATTATTTCTTAAAGATATTTCATCATCAAAGATTTTAGGGTAAATATTAAATATAAACGTCTCGAATGAACATCGAACGAGATTAATTAGTGAAAGACCAAGCATGACCATTGGGGTCATTTGAATCCATTAATTCCGTAGCTCTGTTATTGTGTGCATCTAAATAACATAATTGTATAGCGAAAAAATAATATTTTTGGGTGTAGAGAAAATAGGGATACATGTAAGATTAAATAAAAGGCACTAGGTTACTCATTCCTCATCACATGGTGAGCAGGAAGTGTGGTCTTACTGCCTGAGAGAGAGAGAGAGAGAGAGAGAGGATGTTTAAAGGCTTGTTTCTTTTTTACTTTGCCTTAGCTTTTGCCTACCAATGGAACGGCAGAGACGATTTCCTTTGTTTACTTGTCGGAAAACGAATAGGCAAGCCATCACCCCCTTCCTACATCTCCCCATCTCCATGTCTTGGTTAAAGTGCTTCTCTCTTTCTCTCTAAACACGTACAACTAGTTTAATTATTACAATTTTCATCATGTCAAAAGATAAAAAGGCAATGCCGACTGCCAAGTTGTATTCTAATGAGTCCTTTGTTCACATGGATATTGCGTAGAAGGGGTTAATTTGACATGCATATGTATATAATTCGTAATGAATGGGACGGTTAAGAGCTTTACTTTCTCATTGTTTGTGGGGATTTCAATATTATGATACATATCAAGTTGATTGATATTATATTAGAATAATTCTTTATTTTCGGTAACGAACTAATTCTTCATTACGTGTCATTATTTTATTGCAAAACTCATAATTATTTTTTTTGACTATCTGTATATGTGGAAAGAAATATTGACAAGATCAACTATAACTATTAGGGGGCGTTTGTTTGCCCTCACTAAGTTGGACTGGACTAGCTATTAGTCCAATACTGTGTTTGTTCCATGCTGGAACTAACATTAATGAGACTAAAGGGGACTAGCATGGACAAAACCCTTCACTAAGAGGTCTTAGCGAGACCCCCCAATAACCATGGGACTAGCTAAGACTATCCTCTCTTTGTAAACCTCGTCATGCTCAACGACCACTCCCGACAGACTCCTCGTCATCTCCGGTCACCTAGATCAATCATTAACTTTCCGACTCCATTTCAAATCCATTTCACAACCAACTTTCATATAAAATATACCAAATTGAAGCTGGGAGTGACAAGATTACGATTTTATCTGAATAGAGGCCAAAATGTGGTCGAATGTGGCCGGAAAATGGCCTGGAAGTCTCGGCTTGTTTGGGCTTCTTCAAATCCATGACAGATTCGAGCATTCAAAGCTAAGATCTCGGTCTAGGGATGGTGATGAATTTTTTGGCGGTGCTAACTTCATCCAATTTAACGAGGGTTGGCCGGAAAACACATCGGGAAACCTGCAACTCGTCGGAAATTGGAGCCGTGAGGTTCCATTCGAACAACACATAGCTAGAGAGGGAGGGAGGACAGAGAAATAGACACTGGAATCAATAAGGAGTTTGACCAGGAATGAGAAAGAGACATGAATTGAGAGGTCTAAGAGGAAAAAAAGAAGGAGAGGGTGGGACGATGAGAGAAGAGGAAAAGAGTGGGACGGAAATGGTAGGAAAAGATGAAGAAAAAGATAAGATCATAATAAAATATTAATAATTTATATATTAAATAATATAATATTAGAATTTGTTATTATCCAGCTTCTTAGTCCAATACTGCACCAAACGCTTCACTAAGTTAGTCCAGTTTAGTCTAGTCTAAGCCAGTCCAGCTTAGTCCTTGAAGCTAATCCAGTCCGAGATAATCCGGCGCAACAAACGTCCCCTTAAGGTTTCCTTCTAACCGAAATAAGAAAAGTATTATTCATTATCATAGTGTGCACATATGTATGTATGTATGTATACACACATATATATATATATTAATAGGGTTTGAGTATGCACCCTTTTTTAACATCTTTTTTGTCTTTTGTCTGTTGCATTGCTAATATCTAGAGGCAACGGGATTTGCAGTGATGTAAAAGATCAACTAGATCGCAATGTACTACGTACCACTTGTTTGTTTCGCTGAAAAAAAGCTAGCTTTTCAAGAATTGTTGGAAAAGGATGCCAACCAAGCTCCCAGTATATTCTTGGTCTGCATCTGCACGAACATGACACTTGGCAGAAACTGAATGGATAATTGGTGAAAACTAGATCCGTCGCACAAGCGGATTAAACAGCTATAACCCCTGATCGTGATTCCAGATTTGTGATAGTGTTCTTATAAATTTATAATCAAGTACACTAATATGATTACCATTAGTCAAACAGTCAAATATTATCGAAGGTGCGAGTATCAGTGCAAATCCAAGATTGCCATTTTTTTTTAAAAAGACAAGAAAATTTATTAATTTGGAATTAAATTGTTTACATCAGTTTCGAAGATTGTGATTTAATCAGATAATATTGTATAAAGAATAAATTAAGAAGAAGGCGTTTTGTTTTTTACATGCGGACATGGCTTTTTGTTACGAATGCAATGCACCGAATGTTATCGAATCTGCAAAACTCAAA